AGAAAAGATTAGTTTGTATTGTTTTAAAGCCATATCAAACTTTAACCAATATCAAATATACAACACGTCATGTTGAAATTATTTGTAATTCGATTTTATAACGCGATAAATGTATAACTAGATTATTTTTAGATTTATTTTAATGAAGTTTATAGTTTTTTTTATTAAAATTCCAAATATTAATAAAATGTTAAACAAATTTACTTTTAAATCATAATTTTGTAATACAAACATCTAAAATTAAAAACGTGCATATCTGCATAAAAACCATCCCATACTCAGAATCGTTTTCCAAATGTAATATAATATATAATTTATTTTATATTCAAAATGTTAGATAATACATCTTCTATAACTACAAAAATTAGGCTAACCTAACAAAAAAAAGTTACCAATTCCCTCGATTATTCTAATAAAAATCAATATTTTATTTGTTCAAATTTATACATTTACAGATATATATATTGTGAATAATATTGTCATGACAATTCACAAGGAAATAAATGGTATATATACGCTTAGTTTGTTTTTTTTTTCGATAGACTCTATTGTTTTCATATCTTGATAAAATATTTTAGAATCTATTAATAAGTAAAATAAACACAACTATGTTTGTATGTCTTTTGTATGTATTTCGAATGTCATAAAACGATTGTAATAAAAGTATGTTGAACTTTGTAATGCCCAGTTAAAAAGACTGAATGAAAAAGGAATAAGATAACCATTCCTTACTTAATGAAATGACGAAACTGAGAAAAATAAAGAATTGGATTTTAAATACACTTGTTCTAAAGAACCTTTTTGTTCCTCGTACTTAAAATAAATCTTTTGTGCTTTAATAAAGATTATAAAGTTAATGTAGTATTAAAATTCCATTACATTTAAACAAATTGCATCAGTGTTTATTTAAATCTTGTTGTTGCCAAAATAGTTTTGTTTATTTATTATTGTGAAAACAAATAAAAAATTTAATTTTGACTTATTTTAATTGTCCTAGTTAAATATTACGAATATTAAACGAAATAAAAAAAATTTAGATATTTAATAAAAAATATATTATATAAATTTTTATTTTTTATATAGTTACTACAGTGTGTAAACGCTAACTGAGAACACTCAATATCTTTGCGTAAAGACCTGAAATTTGAATTCTGATTTTTCTTGGTTTTTATGATATAAAAATGTGTATTTTTACAAGTTTTTAATTTTTTTAACTTAAATAGACATGCGCATGCGCAGTACAACTTTTTTTCCTTAAATGGCAACCACCTATTTTAACCACTAATTATTTTTTGCCTATTTTTTTTTTTTTTTTTATGAATTTTGGTACCTAAACCAACTTTCTAAGTCCAAAATTGACCAAGTTATAGAAATTTAATCAAAAAACTGTAAAATGCGCGCGATTTTAAATTTTTTTGACTGTAACTCTGAAAATAATTATTCTAGAATTGTTAAAATTTGATATTTTCATTCTTATTTATTAAAGTGATATTTACACGTTATTATAATTTTATCTACTGCATAATTTTCACTTTAATTTGGATACATATTATAACTTATTGCAGAAAAACGTAAATAAGCTGGCATGTTGTTTACTTTGTGACATTTAATGGATATATTGGAATTTATCAATAATTAACAATAAGTTTAATTGTTATTCAAGTTACAAGTTTATTTATTTATTGATTAATTTAACGTATAAATTGTTCAAATTGTTATCTTCCGTGAACAATACCGGTGTTGATGAGTTGCGACCCAATCCCTAAATTAAATACGAGTTGCGACCCGTATTTATGAAACAGACGTAGGAGTATGCGGCCAAATTTTATTTATCACATCATATTAGCCTATCAGGGGTACTCAGAAGATACTACGAGGAGGTTGGCAGAGTCATCTCCCAAAAATTTGTTTTTTTTTTTATTATTATTTATGTAAAAATAGCAAAATATATGGTACTTTATAGTAAAATTATTTTTTTTAGATTATTGGTTGCGCAAAAACTTAAAACTTAATAATTTAATGAAATCAAACCACTCTATTTCTTTTTGTGCTAGCTTTGTCATTTGTTGTCTTATACATGCTTCTTTTTCACATATTTTCTTCGTTTTTATTCCATTGCTTCTACATTTGGTATACGTTTCTGATTGAATTTCTATTAACACATTAATACAATTATAGATATTAGGATGAGTAAAGTAGAACGATGAATTTGGAGGACACATGGCGTCCGGGGATATATAGTTTTCGAAAACATAGTCGGTAAATTGTACAACCCGATCATCTTTAGCAGGCAGTATAGCTAAAAATTCATTCACGAAACAATCAATGACATCAGAATCCAAAAATTGCAAACCAAAAAAAAATTTGAAATAATAACATTCATCTGTATTTATGTTATACATTTCCGTGAATTTTAAACTTTGAATTTTCCTCCATCAACTTTGCCATAAGTGAAATCGACATCCTCTTATTTTTATATTAGGGAAAACTTTTGCTGCAGTACTGTGGATAGCTTGTTCAAAATCTATAACAACTTCAGTAGGAGAGCACGTTAAACCAATGGACATAGAATGGCGAATTAACCTCGGTCCGCAATTAACTTAGTGATAAAATATGACCGGGCCGTAATTCACCGGTCTCCAACACATTAATGATATTGTTGGGCCGAAACTCACCTATAGCGACATGCATTTTTTCGACACTCCCAATAAATAAATAACATATTAACTTTTTCGGAATGATTCATATTAATCACGGAGTAACACACGTGTTTGGACGATGAAAAATATCGAAATGATCAGTTTGTATAAATAAACATTTCATCATATTTAATTTTGTATCAAATTGTCATAAAGATAAACGTTTACTTTAAGGAAGGTGTCTAATGTTTAGTTTTATAGTGCTTGATAAAATACAATAAGTATTAGATTACGTTTCTATTCCAATTTAAAATATCATAAATATCATTGCAATCAACTGATTGATGAAAAAATGACTGCTGCAAAAAATAAAGAATTCATGCGGCGCGCTGAATCATATTTTGTTCACGGAGGACAATTGAACAATTTATACGTTAAATTAATCAATAAAATAAATTAACATATAACTTGAATAAAAATTAAACTTATTGTTCATTATTGATAAATTCCAATTAAATTTCATTAAATCTATTATTATTTTAATAATTATTAAATCCATTAGATCCATTAAATGTCACGAAATAAACAATATGACTGCTTATTTACGTTTTTTTTGCAATAAGTTATAATACATATCCAAATTAAAGTGAAAATTATACAGTAGATAAAATTATAATAACGTTTAAATATCACTTTAATAAATAAGAGTGAAAATATCAAGCCTTAACAATTCTAGGATAATTATTTTCAGAGTTACAGTCAAAAAAATTTAAAATCACGTGCATTTTACAGTTTTTTGGTTAAATTGCTGTAATTTGGTCACTTTTGAACTTAGAAAGTTGGTTTAGGTAGCAAAATGAATTTAAAAAAATAGGCAAAAAATAATTAGTGGTTAAAATAAGTGGTTGCCATTTAAGAAAAAAAATGTTCTGCGCATGCGCGTGTTTATTTAAGTTAAAAAAAATTAAAAACTCATAAAAATACACATTTTTATATCATAAAAACCAACAAAAAATCAGAATTCAAATCGCATGTCTCAACGCAAATAAGTTATAAAAATTTGTTATAATTTTTTTAGCGTTTATGACTGTATAGTAAAAACCATTTTATTATACAATTGAAGTATTTGAATAACAATTTGCATTTATTATTAATTTGATGATTAACCATTTGTTTTTAATTCTTTCGAATTCCTTAAAAGTAGATTAATATTGTACCATTATTCAGGAAAAACTTTTATGTTTATAAAATATTAAAAACTTAATACGTCTCAGTACTTCTTATAATCTCTCAAATAGATCTAAAATTAGTGTTTTCGAATATTCCCTGTCTACCACTACCTTAAATAATTATGCTAGTAATAAATAAATAAAGAAATAATTTAACAGAAAATACTTCCTTTTGTTAATCTTTACCATTATTGTAAAAAAAGATAGAGCTTTGGTTTTTAGTCTACATGGTAATGTGGTTCAATACTCTATTATTTATATATTATCTCTTTGTTCATTATGCATCGATCTTGTCAAAAATATAGAAATTTTACAGTTAAAACCACAAACTTAAATACCAAGTTTTAATAGTTTGCGTTCAGTTTAATTACTTACAGATCAGTTATTAAAACATTAATATTGAAATCGTATAACATGAAAATTCAAAATCAATGAGTATAATGTACATTATTCAATTTAAACGCTATAAAATACTGATCAATATCGCATATAATAACTAGAATTTATTTCGATCAATTGTTCACTTAAAAATGTAACATATTGCAATACCAAGAGTTTCCATCCATTATTCAAGATCTACAATTTTGAACAACTCTATCTTGCTCCACATTCATATCTGTTATTAATTCTAACAATATTGTTCAACCTTACATAAATTCATTCGCATGCTTTGAAACATAAAGATTATACATGTATTATACCTAACCTAGACAAAACATTGCATTTTTAATTTAAGTAAGAAATGAAAACCATAAATCTTTTATTTTTCGATTTCTTTATTATATCTAAACAAATTGCATCAAGTAAATGTACGTACACGATTACATGTTTAATATCAATCATATACAATTACGCCATCCAGTCAATCACACAATTAATTACTCATTTTGTGACGTTTGCTGTGGTTTTATCAGATAAAATTCCTGTCCATAGACTTAATATGGAATAGAAAATCTAACACACCTATTGCTATACCGAAGAAATAAAAATGTTTCCATCAATCAAACATAACCCATTACATACATCGTTTATTCCGGAAGAGTAAATTCTATTAAATACTTATTTTTGTATTGTATTTTGACATTTATATAAATAATAGTATAATTTTAAATATCATTATTTTATTTTTCAGAGATTCTGTAATCTGCGAGGCTGGAGCGGTGATTCGGAAAAAGTAGAAAAAACTCGATCTTGTTTGCTGAAGGTTTGGGATGGTTTGCAGTCTGGTGCTGATAAAGATCAAGATGGTCAGGTAAAATAAACATAATTTGTTTCACAAATTCATGTTAACATTATGTTAACAAGATAACAATAAACAGTGCACATATAAATTAAATAATATTAAACAATAAACACACAGCTAGTACAGTCTTGCTAAACAAAGTCTATTCAAACTAGATTTTCCTCTATAGTATTCAAGTACCTTTAAAATCAAGTGTTTAAGTGATATATTTAGTATTTTTAAAAAGTTAAGCCTATCATCAACAACTGAGCATAATTTTTTGCTTTAATCGTAGCTTATCAATTGGTTTGAAAAAAAAATTATTTTTAGAATATAAAAATATTGATATAGACTTTTCAATATTGATACCAGTTCCCTGTTAATATGGAATGTGAAATAATGAATAATAACTCAAATTAAGTAACGTAAATTAAGAATTCTCTGAACATATTTTGAATATTTTTCTGATTCGATTGAGATCTATATAAAAATAGTTCTACGCTAGATACAATTAATATTGCCATTAAATACATAATTTCCATTTTCAAACCCATTTGCGTTATACAATTGATTAATGTTAATTTCAATAACCGTATTGATTATGTATGTATACTAATTTAAAAGTACCTTGTACATCGTTGAAACATTTTACTCATATATTATTATATACACATTATAACTCTTTAAAACTTATTTAAAATATTGTCTGTGTAAAAACTATTTCTATTACATCACTAAAATGTCATTTATTTCATTATCCCTGTAATTATTATAATGGTCCGTATTGGTTTTTAGAATTACGTTTAGTGTATTTTATAATAAGGGTTACAAAAACAACTTAAATTTAATTGTAAAATATTTTACATACCATGTACGGTAATGTAGTAATAACTTCATGGATTTTTCTCAACAATTAAATATAATAGTGATATTAACCTTTCATTTTGAAATTAAAACATCACTAATTATACACTAAATTACTATACAAGTATAAAACTAATGATCGAATAATATGTTTCGATTTATTTACTTAAATCAATTCCGTGAGATTTCAGTGTTTTTATTTGGAATAAGTTATTAATTATATTAATGAAACTATATTTTATTTAAAATACAACTTACCCAAAACAATATCATTATCTATTATGGTAAAAATAATAAATGACAAATTATAATTTTCACTGATTTCTCTTTTAAACGAATTTATTTATTTAAAAATTTTTTGAATTAAAAAACAAACTGTACTGATAATTTTTCCTGGATTAAAATATTTTTATGAATAGTTCCATAAAAAAAATCTCTATTTTTAATAATATACAAGAAATCAATATTATATTAGGTGAAATTAATATATATATATATATATATATATAATAAACACAATAAACACATTGTACATATTTTATATTTTATAATTCAAATATGAATTAAACTATTATGAAGAACTGGCACAAGTAGATAAATAGGAGTTTGATATCTTTTAGCGAAAACATTTGTTAAGTACGGATTGCTCAATTAAATAATATATAAATTCAAATATTTGATCAGTACACAAGTAATTACAGGATATCAAAGTAGAAGAATTCAGAAAATCTCTAGGGAAGTAAACGGGTATCGAGATGTTTTTACAATAAATCGTGTTTTCAGTTTCCCCTAGGTGCTCAATCGCGCAATAAACGAAAGAACAATCAGCAGTAAAAATACACATTTATACGAATGCAAAATTACTCTATTATTGCTTGGTGCGAACATTTTATAGGAAATAAACATTGTTTTTTATATACCAGTGATACTTGATTTTTTTTTGATTTTTTTCTTTTATTTCTCGTACATATAGGTAACACAAGATGAATGGTGCGCAATGTGGGACGAATTTTCCAAAAACCCAAGCGCACCTCAAGAATGGCAAACGCAATACATGAACTTCATGTTTGATCTGGTCGATACTTCAGGTATAATGATTAATATTTTTTTTATTATATATTTTTTCGATTTTAATATGCACACAAAATGATTTTTTTTTTTTTTTTAAAAGCCTGTTCTATACTTTAATTTGTAATTCTAAGAATTAAGTGTTTAAGAGTATACATGAAATTTTAGTACAGCTTTTTCAACTCTATTGTTAACCGGTATTAAAGTCGAAAGGAACAACAATAATGAGCATCAACGATTTTTTTTCTCGGCCACTCCACATACAATTTCTATCTACACTTTAAACGATCCAACGTACTTATCCCGTGTTAAATTTTTATGCCAAGATACTTCAATCATTTTAGAAAATTATTCTGCATCAGCTAGATTTGCTATTAAAAACATAAATTTTGTATTAAAATCCAAGTCTAATGACTAAGTACCAGAATAGATAAAAATTAGATAATGTCCATAAAATGATAAAAAATGTAGCGTTACGAGTTATTAAAAAACTTAGATACCAACACACAACATTTCTGAAAAACATATATAGGTAATAAAATAAAATGGAATAATCCGATGTATTATATACGAATGCGTAGCTCGTTAAAAATATCTGAAATTTCACTTCCGTGCAAATGGTTAAAGATATTATTTACTACACGGTAATTGTAAGATGTATTAATAATAATGCAATTACTAGTAGAAAAAATAAACCATTCTAAATATGGAAAAAGTTTTTTTTATACTATTCATACTGTTTCTTTTGTGAAGATTTCTAATACATCCAAACACCTTTTTGTAAAGCTTTTGAACCATGAAATATTTTATAATCATTTCAAACTTAGAACAACAAAAATATAAAAATAATAACATTGCAAATTGAAATATTTGACTTTTGTTCGGGAAGGGAAATGAAAGGCGTTTTAAAATGTATTGTTATAACTTTTAAGGCTTAGTGTGATGACAAATGTTAATGCAAAAAATATTATATTATAGAAACGTTAATTTATACGTTTACAACATTTGCAGTTAAAAATTCGTGGAAATCTATACAATTCAAATATTCGTACATTAAATCTACATACGACTTTTATTCAAATAAAACATATTAAATTATTTCGTTACTGTTGTATCTAATTAATGGATATAAAATATTTTCACTTTTACTGTGTACACAATTCTGTATGTCATGCGTAATACATTACATTACATCGGGGAATTTTCTTGCAGATTTTCAAATTTCAGATTTGTCATAACTTCGAGAAAAATTATGAACCATCCGAATTTATCATATTACTTAATTATAGATTTGAAATCCTAGGTCTTTATACCACCACGGTAACACGATTTGAAAATATAAAACAGGAAAAATTATGTTGTTATTTCAAGATTTTTTATTTCCAATTCAATTCGTTACGATTTGTTCATATAAGTTATCTAAATATAGTACATAACTGTCACCTGTCGATAAACAACACATTTTAAACGTCATATTTAATTTTAATCACAGTACTAAATGTAAATTTCAAAAACTAAATGTTTCTAAATGTAAAACTATAATTTTAACATTTTCTAACTACTAATTGAATATTCATTATCCCAGATGGGTTGCCGTAGTACTGTACTAAATAATAAATTTCCATTTAATCGTATTAAAAGCAAATTCAACTAATAAGATAGGTTAATGTTCCTAATTGAGCATAACATAATTTTAATTATGGCATCTAATCTCAATAGCCGGGAGTGGGTATATTATTATTATTATTATTATTATTATTACTTATATTATTCTGTGTCATGTATTCGAACGAAAAGTTTTCAAAATATTAGATGCACGGAAAGTTAGATCTATTCGAACCCATATTAAGATAGTATTTAAAAAAATGTACCTCGCCCAGCAATTTTAATCTAATCATTAGATTCTAGTGCATTAAAAATATTGTGTCAATAATTAATTTAAACTGATGTGTTATCTATTAACTATTATCTATATTTTAACTAAAATATGATGACAAATAATGTTATTTAACTTTTACTATTACAATCAAAACAATATGGTTTTTATCATGCTATTCTACAGAACTGTAACTACAATGTATGTTGTGAATTGTAAAACAACTTTTTAACTCCTGGTTCATAATCAAAACAATGCAAACATTTTCCATCACGCTTCGAAGGTTTCAGATGGTAGTTGAAGTATATAAAGGGTTAAGCGCGGTCCATAGGATTCCGAACCTCTTTTCCATATCACCGCACACATTATTAAAATTCAAACGAATTTCACTCAGTAAATCGTATGCTGAATCGTTTATTTTACAAGTTTTATTCAAAGTTATTTGTACGCAAACAGCATATCCGTGGGTGGAGATTATCCATTTAATGAACACATTTTTGTATCATTGCACGAATCAATTTATGTTGGGAATGCGAAGCAGCCCAATATTTTAGTAACAAGAGGATCGACCGAGATTCCAATGAACAAAACTATTAAATTAAAAATCTGCGAAATCAGGACAATATATTAAAAATACCAAATACTACAAAATTTATTAATTTTTAACAATTGAGAAAGTTGAATATCCAGTATCTTTTGTCGACCAAAGAAATATTTTAATCAAATTTTAATAAATCTCTTTTGTACCTATAGTACATATAGTTAAATATAGTTAAATACCTTAAAACACATAACTATATATGGTTTTTATAATAATATTTAATTTACTTACCTATATTCAAAAACAAAAATGAAAAAAAAAAAAATAATGAAAATTGTAATCAAACAATCGACGTGCGTAAACAGTAAAACGCTGATAACAGGTTATCAAGTTATTGGAGCTCATTCATTCCTAGATTAAAATGTTTATAACATCATAAACATCAATTCATTTTATTATCATACTAACGTATATTTAATTTGGCGCGAATTATGAATCTTGTCTCACTGTTCCCCATGTCTCACTGTACCCCGGTCTCCCCTACTTCTCAACAATAAGTCTATGATAATAGTAAGACTGTTTACCATTTATGCATTTATATATAGGTTAACATTATTTTCTATAACGTGTAACTAACAACTGTTTATAAAGAATAATGTGTAATATAAACCCCGAGTCCGAGCTTTTGAAGGATTCGACAAAAATCATTAGTGTAATATTTCTTATTTTTTTATATGTGTTTTATAGGAGACGGTTCCATTGACGAAGCAGAATTCTGCGAAGTTTGCCAAAATAATGGCGTGCCTGCTGCGGAAGCTGCGGATGCATATAGACGATTCTCAAAGGTTAGCGCTAACCGTTTTAACGATTTAATCACTAACTTTGCAGTGAGCCCTACATGATGGTCGTAATAGCATCGGAAATTCGTTAGCGGAAATTGATGTGACCGGAAACTTGTTTTGCGTTATTATAATGCGTAACATACGTCAACTACGTATATGTAGCGCACAATACTCGGATAATCCACTGCTCCGGTCGTTTATTTATTTTAACTCGAACCAAGTGCAAAAGTTTTTTCGGTCGTAACAAACATTATAATACTGTCGGTAGCGATTATTTTATTTTTAAAATAATTAAACCTAGTAAAAACAGTAAGTAGTACCGAGTAAAATAGTAAAAATCCGTTTATACAATATTACATGGCTGAGCATACCTATGCATCGTCGTGCACAATATTAATTATTACACTCACTGCTTAAACGGTACAAGAAAGAAAATCCATGGACATTAATAATGTAATATCCTAATGCGTTTATAATCGGTAGGAGGTACGTTATAAATGTTATTTTTTCGGTTGCTCGTTTATTTATTACATTGCCGTTTACCCGAAAACTTGCCCCGTTCGAACGCAAATGCGTTTTTCGTACACACGTGTGCACCGAGCAATATATGACATAATATTTCTTTTCGATTTCACACGTACATAATATACAACATTGTACACCGCAGTGCCTTATCAACTCAGGAATGGATTTGGCATAAAATAAGGTGACGATCGGGTCATTTTTCCCCTTCTCGTTCTTAACATAAAAAAATTGCATTAGAATTCAGAGTTTTCTAAACTTTTTAAACGTACCAGCCGTGGTTTAAAATATATTCGAAATAAATTGGTTACATAATTTAGTTAAAGTAATTAAAATCAAATCCATTTTAAACCGTGATACAAACGGGTAACGTGTAATCTTAAACATGTACCCTATATATTTTAAAAATCTCCACCCGTTAATTTGGTCTGGCTTCCATTCCGTCTGTCGCAAAGGTTTAAGCGAAATGTTAAGTAGGTACGTGCGATGCTGGTTAAATTAGATTTCTAAACGATGACTGATATCGTGTATAATAATGTACGAACGTTAATATCACTACAAAACAGCAAAACGATATATTGTATAACACTGAAGTGGTTACAAAAATAGGCAAAACCGCGAGATCTCATTCAGCGAATGATAAAACCATAAAATGTTAAATGCTCACAGGCAACGGTATAGACGATTATTAATAATTTTAGATACCCATCAAATGCTATTATCTTACACAGGACTTGATTCAACAATATTTGTCAAGCTTTATTGTCAATAGAATTCTAGCATCAAATATGTTATTAAATTGTAATCGTTTTTATACGTCATATGTGTGTCATCCCATCACATTTACTAAATAAAATATTGAGTGTACTATCTCTGAACAAAATAAATCCTTGGACGAATTTATAGGTTATAATTTTATATGTTTATCGGAACGATGGAAGGCATTACGAATTGGAGATGTACTGATCGCAATATTAAATACATATGTGTAATTGTACGGTAAAAATTCATCGAAGCTTCATCACGCATAAATTTCATCGACCAAGCAAAAACCAAGACAACATATTTAGTACAACAAAAATATAATAGCAACCAACAAATCTTCAAAACAATCTAAATCAAATATTACTATAGGTGATAACTGCGTGTCACGTAGTACGCTATTCCGAGTTTTGTTTACAGCTGCTTATCTCATATTGTAGTCAACTGCAAGAGAACGATAATTACTCAAAAGCAAATAAATAATAATAATTATACACCACTAGGACCGACAGGGTAATAATCGATTCGGGCGAAATACCTGCCGCGTATCATGCAAAAACATCTACTAGTATAATATTATACAGTAATCGACACTACTAAATGTGTGCTAAAAAACTATTTAAAATGTATGGCGATTCCATCGTTTGCCGTTATTGATTTTTGCTGCGTTCGATTTCGTGGTATTATCGTCGCTATTCTCGTTCCACCGTTATTGTTTCGTTATAATATAGTACGACGCATATTATACGAACGTATGTCGTTTGATGAAACAACAACGCATACGAAAACGATAGCAATATAAATCGCGATGGTATTCGTTGGGACTGCTCGAGAAAAACTGTACTACGTGATAGAGCTGTACGTATCAACAGTACGAAACACATCCGGATCTGTCATCCTCAAACGACGGTGAAACGACGCTCTTATCTATGCTACTATGCACATTGAAACCTATCAAAAATGGACCTTGAATGAACCGGAAACCTGTCTATAACGGAAATGACATCTAGTCCTGTCATAAATGATGTTAAGGATATTATAATGGATAAGCCGGAAGCCTGTACAAGACGGAATACATATTTATCAAGTCCATTACGATTCCTTCGTAGGCAGTTATATTTATATACATATATACCCAATGGTGCCAAACTATTAGATCAAGTGAAACAGTGGCTTCACCTCTTGAATAGGGATGGTGGGTATATAGAAAATGTGTAAAGATTAGTATTAAGTTTCTGGGTTAGATACTAGGCAAAGAGGTGAATGGTAGGTCCTAAATTTTAGAATTTGCTTAACCGAAGTATCTAAAACTCGACATCACTAAACAATATATTATATACCGCGGTACAAAATAAAAAATAAAAATAACGCTTCATAATGGCTAATACGAAAATTTAACGTTTCCTACTATTTACACGTATCCACAAGCGTCGTGGACTTCCATTGTCGGCTGTGGTTTGTTATAATACCATTTATTATGCTGCATTACTATTATTTATAGTATATATTATTATTATTGTACGTCTAGAACAATGTGCAAATATCCTCATTTCGAGTCTTATACTGCATTACAGTTACGGACAACGTAGTTTTAATTGTTTTTTTTCCACCGTAATAACATTACTCCCGAGAGTAAATTTATTACATAGTATACCGCATTGCCGTGTATTAAAACACAAAACCAGATTATAATATAAATGATAAAATATTTTTGGTTTTACTTATTAATCACGCTACCGTAATTAATATAGTAAGCGGTTTTTTTTTTGTTTTTAATTAGCGACCTGTCAATCACAAATAACGTTGTTAATTTCAATCGAAATTCATTACCTATATTATAATAATGTGATTAATTTAATGTTTTATTTTATATATACATATTTATTTGTATATGCACCACAGGGCGGCACAATTCAAGTCTCTCACGACGAATTCGCTAAATACTGGGTGGAGTTCTTCGCTTCCGAAGATCCCGTGGCTTTGGGCAACTTTATCTTCGGCAAGACATCGTTCAACTAAACAACAAGAATTTCGAAAAATGAATCGTCTTCTTCGTGTTTTTTTTTCTTTATAAACTAATATTTTAAAATTGTGACTGCAAGAAATCACATACTTAAAGGATGATGTTTGAAACGATAGATCCTCTTTAGATATCATAATATATTATAATATTATATTCTACTTAGATATTTACAAACGTAGTAATTATATTAATTTTAGACTAACATACACTCTTAGTCAATTCTTCGTACATATTTCGTTTAACTTATTGTAATAAAATGTATAATGTTCAATATAATTAATAATTTTCGAAAAATTAAATTACAAGCAATACAAATAAACAGCGGTTATTATTGGTCTGAAACTTTATATAATAATAATAATTGTACCTTCTGTTCATGACTTATTCGTGTAAAAAAAAATCATGTTATATCATAAATTCATATTTAATAACAATAATAAAATCTTGCACATATACGATTAACACATTTTTTTTTAAACTTATAAGCATATACATATTGTAAACTACGTTTTTATTACACGTAATTGGAAATTAATTTTTACATTAATAAGAGACATTTTGAATAATAAGAATAGAGAAAAACTCAGGAAAGTTGACTTTTCAAAGTCTGAAATAAAAAAATAAACAATAGTAATTTTATTCAAAAACGTTCTCGTTGCCAAATATTTTATATTCAGAATAACGATGTAATAATATAATTCAATAAAATATTTATATAAGATCACAAATGTCACTCTTTAAAACATAAAACCTTACTCTAATACTTTAAATAACAATTAATATTACAGTATTACAGTTATTATAACAAATATTTTAAGTATCAAACTATTGAATGGAAATGTAGGTAATGCGAAAATAGTAGTATGGCTAATAAAACTTTATTATGTATGGCTATTTAGTGGCACTGTAGATTGTCAATAATATTGGAGTTTGTGTAATAGTAAAATATGGTAGGTAATGTAGGTTATGTGTTAAACGTGTTTGTGTGTTAACTTTTTTTTCTTTTTTTTTTTAATATTCTTTGTATTTCTCAGAAATGTAACATGTTTAATGGTTTATTGGCCGTCATTTCTGTAGTTTTGATTCAAAAATATACATACATAAATGAAACGTTTCATTCGAGTTTTTATAATTGTTTCTGATCAAACACTTTCAGGTGACTCGTCGGAGGGAACAGTGATAGCAATGGAAGTTGACTGTCGATCGTTGGATCTAGCTACATGTCTAGCATGAACCTCATCCAACCGATCAGATATCATATCACTCCTAGCGTTTGTCTCACTCACCTGTGGAAATATATCACTTCTTATAGTTATGCAACTAATAAATTAATATTATGTATTTTTGAAAGTAACACAGTAAAACCTAAGAAATTGGTAGATATGCAAGTTAGTTATGTACAACAATATAGGCTTTATTTTGACAGGTCATAGACTATAAAATTTAAATAAATTATACCTACCAACAATAATCTCCCTCTCTTAAAATAGAATACGGAGAATTTATAAAATTCCGAAAATATACACTAGGTAAATAACCTACATAATTTCCCAGCGGTAATCGTTTTAATTTTATTTATAATTTATTCCTAAACTACATATTTTATAATGATTTTAATGGAAATTATAGCAATATAAATATAAGTAAACAATTTATTAGTATAGATCTAATGAGGAGCTAATCTACCTGCTTAATTTAAAATAAAATCAACATTTTCATAAAATAGAAACCATATTTTAACTTTGATAATAAGAAAAATGAAAGGCATTACAGAAGTATACAATTTAGTTTATATATGAAATACAGTGATGCCCGCAGGGGGGATTAAGGGGTTGTAACCCCCCTCCCCCGAAATTTTCTCCGATGTCTAGGTAAAAATTTACAAATTTTACAAGTTTGAAATATGAAGAGTTAGTATTGAATACCTAATATCATTAATTATAGAATAGTCTATTCTATTATCAATGCTATTCTATTATCAAATAATAGTTATCAAAACTATTATTTAAGTCAAAATATATTAAGGATTAACATAATTTTGCTAATTGTAAAATGTGTTATATTTTTACCTTGACCCCCCCCCCCCCGAAAAAAAATCCTGTGTGCACCACTGATGAAATATATTTTAAAAATTACATAGTTTTGTGATTTCTATTTTTTAAATAAAACATGCAATATTTTAAGGTTTGTATTTTCTTAATATGTAATTCATTTTATATTTCATTAGTGAACGGTAGTAAATTTTTGTTTACATTTATTCCTACATCAATTAATACATAATAATATAATATAATAATAATAAATTTTTGTTTAATTATATTGAATGATATTTTTAAACTATCGCCTAAATTTAATGTTTTTCTAATCTAAATCATCAAAATTATTTCATTTTATCCAGCATATTAAATTTAAATGACGTGTTACACTTACTTGTCTGAATAAACCTAAACACTGTTCTTCTAATCTTTTTAATCTTGCTGCTCTTCGTTGGAGTCTTTCATCTTCTTCCGGCCGTAACACAGATGTATTTTGTTGCAGTCTTTCCTCTTCAGGTTGTGGAACAGTTTCATTTGATTGTAAACCATTTTCATCCGATTGTAAAACAATTATATCGGTTTTTGTTACAATTTCTTTATTTGATTGTAAAACGATTGGATTCGAACTACTAGTCCCAGGTATTTCATTTTCTATTAAAATTGTATTTTCATTTTCAGATGTGATCGATCGCCCAGACCGTCCATACTGCCTCTGTAATTCCTCTAGTCGCTCGGTAATAAAGTCACTAGTTCGGGAAGTACGCACCATTTGATTAAGCAATGCTCTACTCTGTTCCTCTAATCTTTTAATTCCAGTTGTTTTATTTTCTGTTTGAGGTTCATCTACAACTTCTGATTCTGAAGTGTCCAAAGATAATGTTTTTAACCAACTCTCATCCTCATCACTACAAGCACCACTATCAGCGATAGCTACTCTAATTTCATCATCTTCGAATCCACTCTCTACTGATGTACTATTGCACTTTCTCCGGGAAAATTCTTCCCTCAAAGATTTCCAGTCTTCTTCTGACTGTGAATTTTTCAATCTTGCTTGATCCCATTTCTCTCGACAATACTCTAACTCTTTTTTCAATTCATTTAGAACAGTTCTCTTGTGTTGCAGTTCATATCTAAGAATTTTTTCATGAGTATGGAGCTTTCGATGTTGCGCATTAAGATTGGCTACGGCATTCCATGCTTTGCATAACTCAGCAGAAACGATTGAAAGCCGTTGTTGTTGATGATCAAGTCGAGATTCTAAATGGTCATTTAGAGTTTTCAGTCTACCGATATCTTTTACCAATGCATTTTTTTCAAGAATGAGATCTTTTAATTTCAAAAATGTTCTGCTCACCGTAGCAGCCCTAGATTCGTTTTCATCCTCTGGTTTTGACTCATTTGCCGTTTTATCGTCATAATGACCCAATAGTTCTACAAGTATTCTCCAAACTTTTGGCAGATTTGAAGCAATTTTTTCCCGATTCGATGTACAACTTGCTTCTTGTGAACGCTCCAATGTGTCGCCAGCAATATCCATTAGGACAGAAGCTGTTTCATTAATATCCCCATTAAAAGTCAAGTCAGATATCAGCTCCCTATTTTCTTCTAGCATCCGAGCAAATCGATCGAAATCAGGTCCTTCGTCACCAGACAATAAAGTAGAGAACAAATTATTGACCAAAGACATTTGAGACGCAAGACTCATTCTGTCTGCTGATGTAGTCATATACTTTGCTTTCATTTGTTCGTACTCAGCTTGCTTGCCTTGGACCTCAGTTTCCAATTTTGCTATAAAATCATTCATACCCTGCTTACTGTTAAGTTCTTCGGCAAGTTTAGCTTCTAGCAGAGAATTTTTGGCTCTCTCTTTATTAATTTCCCTTTCATGGCCCATGGCTGCCGCTTCTGCTCTCTCCTCGTAAAGCTGCCGCAAATTTCTAATATTATCAATTTGTTTCTGATATTCCACGCGTAGATCGGCTAAACATTCGTCTGCATGCGTTTCCATTTCTTGCAACCGTTTTTTTAAATCATTCACCTGTTATAAACGGATCAAAGAAATGTTCAACGCATACTGTTTTACACTAATATTCAATATATAAATCACCTGTGCTTCTCTGATTTTCAACATGTCATTGCTAATGTTTGATACTTGTTTAAGAGCTTTGACTTGTTGCTCTAGTCCTATTTTTTCTTTTCTCACCATTTCCAGTTCATCTTTGTACTCCTTTAATCGATTCATTTCAGCTTTAATTGATGCAATAGCATCGTGTCGTCGTTCACGTATACTGGACAAATACCTATCAAACTCGTCTGGGTCTTTTATTTCAGAATCAACAGTAATGCTATCAAAAGACTCGACGACTAATTCCTAATAAAAAAAACCAAATACGTAAAGTTAAAAATATTTTATGTTATAAAATACATGAATATGAGTTATTACTGGAGCTGCAGTTATCACTGGTATATCTACCGGACGGCTCCATATGGCACCCATCTGAGATAATTACACTGTAATAAATAATAATAAATAATAACATAATGATATTACAAAGTTAATATAATTTGAACAATTAGACAACGCAATTTAAATCTATAAATTTTGGTAGACCAGTGAAAAAACATCATTCAGAATCTATTTTTATTTTTGGCCTATAAAGCACACGTGACTTCTTTTATTTAGAACAATAAATTTGCATGTAACTGTTGGCTATTTGAAACAAAACGTAATGTTAAAAAAAATTATACTAGTACATACATGTATAAATTATAATAAAATAATTGTCATTATTATAATAGTACGTATATTTACTATAGGCAGCTTATAGGCTATAACCAGGGGGTTGTTAAAAAATTATAACTTCCCCCCCCAAAATGTTTCTCTTATTTTGTAAAATATACAATCATTTTAAGACATAGGTATACTCGTAATGTTATATCATAACATCATTAAACAATTTTCACAGTTTTAACTAACTAAATGATTATAATCATTATATTTTAACTAATGTTTAATGAACTCATTATTGAAATTAAAAAGTTAGTACTTAATTAGGAGAAAAAAATTAAAAATTTAAAATCTACCCCAAAATATTTTTCTGGTTACGCCACTAATTGTAGGTCATTACAAAATGTAACCTATGCTACAGTTATCTACGACGACGGACACAACGTTATTAAAAATTAGATTTACGTAAGCGATTAAGATCCACATAATAATAAATAATAATTTATATGTTATGCGAATAAAGGTGTTATCGATCGAGGAAAATCTAATCCGATTAGCTACAATGTTAGTGGACGTAACTACGACGCGGACGAAAGCACGTCAAGTGCGAGGTGGAAACAGCAGGAGTTTGCATCCGAAAAATTATTCACAACAAAGCTTTTTGCTTCTGGTACCCCTAATTCGATTTTGAACGGTTTAAAACAAATACACGCGCTACACCGTCACCAACAGCACACACTGGTATAGACCGAAAAATAATAAGCCCAAGCGCGAAATAATATGTATGTTATATTTGGAACAATGAAATTTATATTTTTCCTAATCAGCCCTCTAGTGTGTAAAAATATGTCAAACACAACGATATCTATTCACATTAATTTCGTGTAATATTATGCAATATGCATACAATTAAAAGTAAAATCCACATTGCGCACGTCCTTCGAATCGGATCACGGGTGTTTGTCTGCCTCGGATCCCAATAATAATTATTATACGGAAATGAACACGTGTCGTATTACGGTGTCTATGCACGTAAACAAACGGATAAAACGGCGCTAGTTTCCGGTGAACGATGTAATACTTTCAGGCAACAACACGGTAAAGGCATGAAAAAGCCACAGACAATGCCCCGAACGATGCCGGATTCTAACTGCCTAGTTTTTTTTTTCTCTTTATTCCCGCTGCGCTCGTCATAGGTTTTGACCGAAATGTATATCGTCCGTACAAGCTCGATCCATATACATGTCTACAAGTATAGATCATAATGCGCATAATGTACCTTAAATGTTACTAGACCGTTGCCCGTGATTCCGATGACTTCTTTAACTTCTTCAGGCGATGGCGGCGGCGGTCTTGCGTCTTGTGTTACGTGGGTTTGCTGGTGAAACGTATGCGGTTCGTGTGTGTCGCGGCGCGCGCGTTCGACTTCTATAATTATAATACTCGACGACCACGATCCTTAGCCCGCGAGATATACTTGTGCGCGTATATATGCTTATGTGTACGTTGAATGTGTATGTGTGTGTGTGTGTGTGTGTATAGGTACACGGCGGACGTGATGCGCGCGCATTCGCTACTAATCATAGCCCACGTCTATTTCTGTACCCGAAACGCAATTCTCCGGCCAAATTTAATCGCATTTCGACCTCGCGACGTCCGCCGCCAGCCAAGTCCGCGGGCACGACAAAGGATCCATCGGAGGCGACGAGGCGTTGTCCTCTTGATGACCGGCCGGTGGACCACAGAGCAATTGGCACGTGGCCCGTCCGTTGTTTTCTTCCGGTAAAACGCGCAGTTCGACGGTACCCGTGTAGCTCACGTGTAGACACGTAGTACGAGGTGATAGGTCGTGTAACACTAGTACTCAATTCATGAACAGGGATGTTCATGGGGTGTCATTAGGAAGGGGGCAGGGTGTACATTGGCACCCTTATTTTAATTTTTTTTTTTTTTGCCCTGCCGTTAAATTTACAAACATACCACTTTGATGACCTATGTGTAAAATTTAAAAGGAAAATTATATACTTTTATTTTTTTTTTTTTTTTTTAAATCGTTTGTTCGATAGTAATATAATACCATTGTAAAATTATTTTATTTTATTTATATACACATTCAACCAATTTACAAACGTCCCGAAATATATATACCTATTTACTATGATGAAAAAAATTGGCTAGTTTAAATGTTGGCATCCCTATTACAGAATGAAAATAAGCCCCTAGTTAGTTTAATTTAAAAACATATATATATATTAGCACTATAAGCATCATAATTGTGAACAGATTTCTACGATTAGTATTTCACAGTGTACGTGTCGACCAATTGACCTCGTCTTCGAAAAAAACTTCGACTTTTTCAATTGCGATGGCTTTATTGTATCATCGATCATCATCCATCACCATATATTAACTGTTGGTTCTGCGTTTGAAGATAAGCAACAAATGTTTTGCCTACAAATGTGCGCAAGGCATCACTTTTATAACTTTATAAGGGTTGTTTAAGTATATATGATTTCAATTGGACCATTGAGATTCAGTAAATTCTTTTGTTGGTTAAACAATAGTATTATACACTATCAAAGTATTAGTTGAAAAATAAACAAAAATAAATAGTAATAAATAATAAGTAATACTTAAACCAAACATAACCAATTGATACATACAAAAATTGAACAAATAACAGATAGTTTTTTGATATTTTAAAATATAATTAAGTATAAAATAAATTAATAAAATAGTTTTATCTTTCATAGCCCATTAATTTCATGTGTACTTATTCCTGGGGTGGCCAACATGTCTATGTACACGAGCCACATGTATTAATAAGATTATATTAAGAGTCAAATTATCTAATCGGTACTTCTATACTACAAAAGTAATTAAGAAAGCTAACAGTTGATAAACATATATACATATAAATAATTAAGTCAATATATCGTTAAAATTTGACTAATGATCATCTCACAGAATTACTAAGAACTACTCTTACATCAATTCAACCAGATCTTAAGAAGCTTACTACAAAAGTGGACATGAAAAAAATACCACACAAACAAATTTAAGTTGATGTTTAATTTTTTAATTTATTATTCATATAAATAAATTTTTTTTTTGTTTATTAATCTGTACACTATTGCCTCGTATCTATGCAATAAAATTTTTTTTTTATAAATGTATACAAAAAAATTTAAATATTTTGGTTTTTTTAAATAAGACCGCGAGCCGCATACGACTATGACGAGGGCCGCATGCGGCTCGCGAGCCGCAATTTGGCCACTCCTGACTTATTCAATAAATTTCCGGAAATCACCGGAATAAAATAACCTAATTAGATTTCATATATGTCCACTTGAATATTTTATTGTTTGAGAATTTTATTTGAAATTTGAAATGTAATATATCTATTATTATTATTTTGTTACATTGTACTAAACTAAAGATATTTTATATAAATATAAATGCAATAGGTAATTCTAAGGTACCAATAGGAGGGCGAAGTTCGAGAGGATGTCTGAATTTGAGGAGTTTAACAAATAAAATTTTAGAATTAAATATGCAATATACATATAGTATATTATAAATGCTTATTCTTTTAATATAATTAGCACAATATACCTACAAATACACATGCATTATTACTTGTTTTGCATAATTGACTTTATAGAAATATACCATTACTGAAAGCCAGTTAAGTAAAACGGGTAACAAGTCCTTAAATTATACAAATATCTACGATTACTTAGTATCACAATCAAGTAACTCACGTGACGCTTTATCAAAGTCAGTATTATTGGTTCATATTTGTTTCCATACTTGTTATATGATAAAATATAAATATAAATTATGTAAGCCAATATAATAAAATTTAGATACTAGATACACGTGGTCACATGAAAGGTATACAACTATTAGAAATACTAATTTTTGATCTGCATTTCATTTCTCTGTTTTCACTTGGCAATCAACCATATTCTACGCATTTATTTGTCTAAATGCGAACGCTTTTTCCCGTTAAAAATGCAACAAAATTAATTTCACACAATAATAATAGATTTGTCCTTGAATTTTACAACGCGCAAAACCCTTGCTCTTGAATACGATTCATGAAACACATTTTTACGTATTCTTTTAAATCTGCAATTGGTCTTATGATATGTTTGTTCCTATATTCAATATCTTTAAATAATTATTACACAATATTTCCAATGCGACTCACCAGAAACAGGAGAAAAAATGTATTTTAAAACCATTGCTTATATATACTGGCCTTCATTGGCATAAAAATTACTAACGGTATTTTTTATTTCCTTATAAACCATTTTGTACGCTTTTGTTTCATAAACGAAACTGAAAATGCATTAATATATTGTAGTATATGTTTTCAGAATTGCTGGAGATATCGGCCGTTGGTGAGATCAGCCGATTCATTATGTGTTGCTTGACTATCGTGGACATAGGACATAACCAGATATTTTTTAAAAACACTTAAAATTTCGTTGTGCTTTAAAAATCTAAAATCACGCCACGAGTATAATTCATAACAATTAATAACTTTTACTCGTTGTAAAACTCGTTTTAAAAACTGCCTGCTTCACAAATATAGTGATTTTTATATAATTGTTTTATAAACATTTCCACGTGTCCAAATGCATTAAAGACAACATTTAAATTATATATTCATTGTTTGCCGTGTAGTTTCAATTACGCAGTACAGTAGTAACTTAGAGACGTTTAAATAGACCAAAACAATAAAAAAAAAAAGAATAGACTATATTCATGAACATTATAAATCTTATTTCAGTATTTACAGTGGGCCAAATAGGTTCTCTGTTTTAGTTAAAACTATGATGAAATCATACATTAAATAGTTATGAATATTATAAACGCCATTTATGAATTATAAGTAGGTAGCTATTAATATATTTTCAAGTAAAATATGTATCATTATTCAAGCATATTGTAAATTATTTCAAATCTAATCTCAATTATTATAATCCATTGGTGTATCAACAATAGGTAGAGTATTAGAGCGTGTATCACGGATATTTGATCCGTTACACTTGGCCATAATCATTCTTATAGGTACTTGTTCTCATTTTCACAAAATACTATGTACGACTTGAGCCTGAGATTTTAAATGTAAAGGTTTTGTGTCACTATATGGACGACACAATTACAGTGCAAATATATAACAAAAGCCGAATATTTATACGGAAGCAGGTAAGTACATCAGCACCGTAAACTCATTTCATACGAACACCAATTTGGAGCGTGACAAACATGCCCATTTGGCTGTTGAACCAGACAGAATGTAATTTGTATAACAGTGACATTTTTCGACAGTGTTTTATATGATAATTCAAATACTCAATTCATGCATATCCATGCGTACTTCACGATTAATGTTAAGTCAGTCTTGACTGAAATCTCTGTTGAACGACGATGGTTTTCCAACACACAATTGAATTGAAATCAAAAAAAGATTCTCACTGTGACGTAAATCAAACCGTTCTAAAAGTACTTAACATATAGTGTATTACATACTATATGATGTAGCAATTTTATTTGTGCTACAAACTCCTTATATGTAGAGTCAGTCCAGTTCCTATTATTTTAAATCATTGTAAGTTATAACGCACCGATTTTATAATAAATAATCATATATCAAATAAAAGCTTTTAATGAGCACATTTAAAAAAATTCATCATAACTTCATGTGTCTCTTTTAAACCCATTTACTATCCTCGCCCCATCAGTATTTTTTTACCAAAAAAATTATCGTTCAATTTTCATAAATTGTATTTAATTTATTGTATCACGTTTTAATATAGTTGTAGTGCTATTTTACCTATACTGCACACTAGTTTAAAATAGTTTAATTTTTAATTTTAACTGTGAAGATATAAAATACAAGTAATAGATGGACTAAAATCTCAATAAAAAAGAACATCATATTAACTCTTATCATGTTTATCTTTTTTTTATTTTATAAATTATCGTTACAAAAGAAAATTTAATTAATTAAAAATATCTTTGTTTCACATATATAGGATACTCGTAAATCGTATATTATTCAAAAACGATTTCATCATTATTTTCTTGTTCATAAAGGTTTTTGAAATACGTATTTTATATTATAAAAAATAAATAAATAAATAATCATAATTATTGTGTTTTATTACATCATGTTATAGACTTATTTAGATGTAGTTATTGATATAAAAACAATAACTGACATAAAATTATTATTTGTAACTAGAGAACGGATTTATATGCAAATGTACATATATGTATTGGATTAAGCTTTTGAAATCTAAAGAACATTGTCCCTGATTTAGTTAGATCATTCTTATTAAAACAACATTAATTTTATTTTGCATACTTTGCATATTTCAACGTTTTCACCTTATTTTGCATATTTCATGTATATTTGTAGTTTATAGTACATTTTTTTTTAGTAGATTGCACATAAATTTGTTTTACCTTATATTTTCATGTTCATAGCCACACAATTTAGATGAAATAGAGACTGGTCGTTATAGCCAAAAATAAAATGACATACTCGTATGTTATATACGAGTATATAAAAATTATATTAATATAGATAAATTCATATGTTAGGGTTGAACATTTGAACTTGACGGAATTACAAAAACCGACCGGTCAATACGTGTGTATATTTTTTCGAATAAACTGTCACAGGTTTTGTGTTTAGTGATTTTTTTTTTATTAATCTTTCGTAACTTTAAAATGTCTAAGTAAAAACACTAATTATAAGTCGTTTACAGGCATACGTAAACGAACATAAAGATATTTTTAAAACCGATGGTTCAATTTTGTTATACAATACTTGTGAAATGTTTACAGATATAAAAAAAAAATTTTTTGATTTAATTATAAGTGCATATTTTGTAGTATATTACAGCATTTTTGGAAGCATATTTTGAGGAACTTTAGTGCATATAAATCCGTTCCCTATTTATAACTATATATTTAAAGTTTTATTATTATTTGGCAATTTCAAAAACTGTATTTTTACAAAAGTCAATCTTAAAAATATGATAACCATTCCTCCGATTTTTGCCTGAAGTCTCCTGGTAGATGAATGCGTCTAATTCTTTAAGTTATACACAAAGAAAGAAAATTTTTATTTTTTTTTTTATGCACAGGAATAAAATTCTACGTATACGGTCCATATAAAATATCTGAGTACTCCAGTACACTCTATAAAGTTTATAGTATAAACACATGTGCACAAGCTTAAATTTTTCTTCCTCGTGCAATTAAGTGCCATATTTTACTAATGAAAAAAATACATTTTTTTTGTTGGACAATTTAATTATTAATTTCAGAGAATTATATTTTTGAGTAACTGGTTTTTGGGGATTAAGACATGTGTTAACCATCGTTTTTAAAATTTAGAATCCACTCTATTGTTTATTTTAGAATATAGATAGAAAAAAAAGACAAGAAAGAAAAATGAAATATTATTCAATCATAATTAGCCAGGATAATTATATACAACTTCATAGTTCGTTTTGATTGAATATTGCGTGTTAAACAATTTATTTTTCGTTTTTTTCGATTTTTCGAAATTAAATAATTATATTTATTGTAATTTTAATAGATCTATATGGTTATTAACGAAATAGCAATATTATCAGACAAATGAAATAGTCTAGCAGCCAAGAAAAAAAGTCATTCCAATTCTATCAAATCTTAAATATTCCAGTTGATTATGCACAGAAGAGAACACGGCTGCACGCTTTACTAAATGTTAGATTACTTTTAAAATTACGTATGAAAGTACAAAAGCATCAGAAAATCATATACTGAGTGAGAATCAAACAAATATAATAAGAACTATCAAAACAAATTAACTCGAAACATCGTTACATCATCGTAAATTCAACAACATTTAAAGTACTGATAGAATATTGTATTTTGTAGTTTAATTTTCATGCCACATACTTCCCTTTCCCGCCGTCACATCACTATATAGTAAAATCTCCAAATAAGATTTTTTGTAGAAGCAGGGCTCGAAATTGACTGGAACGCACCGAAACACAGTTCCGGTTCACGAAAAAAATTTTTTTTAGCGTTCCAGTTCGTAAAAAATATAACGTTTATCGTTCCGTTTCAAATAAATTTTTGGTGTACCTACCATATTTTGTTAAAATTTAACCATTTTGCACAATTATTCATTGTAAAATATTTAATAAACATCAAACGACCGCGATGCATAAAGACATTTATTGCTTATCTATACGATAATCGCCGTCCACTGATAGTGTATTTTAGCTTTATTTACACAATACTTATGTGAGTTTTAAAAGTTAAAAATAAAGCATTATACCGGGTTCACACTATTGAAATTTCTTGTATGCTTTTTCCCGCATGCTTATTTTTTGCAAGAACAAAATTGAACAAATGTGAACGTTTATAATACGTATGCAAGTACTTGCATGCAGTCCAATATGTCAGATAGAAGTTGAATGCAATTAGATAATTTTAGGCCAGTTTATTCCCGAACACGAATCACCATGTGATCAATGTGATTTCTTAATTCAAAACAAACTATTTGATTTTCCAACACTATTTCTTCTACTAATCCAGTGTCGAACCCATAATCTTTTTTTTTAACAGCTTCTTGCTTCTTTTCTAAGATTTCTTTACGAAGCATATCGCAAACAATAAGTACTCTTATTTTGTTTGATCCATATAACAGTCTCGTTAAAAATTATAAAAAAAAACAGCAATTCTACTGGCGATCAGATCACTTTTGAAACTAAACAATATTACAATACATACAAGACTAAAAATATACAAGCATAAATGTGAATAGAGCTCTTAAAACACGTGTTACGGAATTCATGTGTACACGTGAAATACGTGTTTATCCAAATATATATCCATTTTTATAATGATGAAAATTAGTAATTTTATGTTATGCAGTTAACTTAAGTTTTAATAAATATTATTAGTTCAGTAAAGGTACAGTTAAAGTTATACGTTCTTATTTTGGATTTTACACGTGACACGTGACACGTGGATTCACGTGTATTTAGAGCTCTATATGTGAAAATGCACTTTTTAATATTTAAATACATTTTTGATTTTTATATGAACACTTTATTTTTTCAATTGATTATCGTTTGATAATACAGACTTAAAAAAATTGTATTATTAGTCGTTATTAATCGATATAAAATTATATTTTGCATATTTGTAACTATTGGTGATTTAGTTTGTTAGTTGTTTATAATTATAGTAGAACATTTAGTTGATTTATACGACGTATCACATCACTTTCTGAAATATTATACTGGTTGAACTTCGATATCGAATTCGAACGAATTAAATTTATTTATTCATTCGCATTCTGATTTTAGTTTTCAGATTTTGTTTCAGAAAATTACCTGTAAAGTAACTAACCTATTTAGAACATCAATTACAATGATGAAAAATTTATCAATGGTGTCTGGCCAACCGAGTGCAGAAGATGCTATGAGTAATGGCAATAACTACAATCTTTCATTTCCAGCTTTGCCAGTTTTGAAGACTTCGGAGACAATTGGGACTGCACAATTAAAAAAACGGAGTAATTTTAAATCATCAACCGTGAACGAAGTAATTTATCATGCCATTTTAATAGTAATTAATAAATATTAGATCGATCAGTCTGATATTGACTTGTAACACGGTCGCATGTCAGTTCGATTATAATTTGCCCGTTCCGTAACCGCAATTTTAATTAAGTTACTTTATTAGTTTATTTAAGTTATGTTAGTTCAGTTTACGGTATTATACGAGTATTCACGGTATTATATATCGTATTTATGCGACTTCACTTTCAAGATGGACAACATACCCTCTCCGTTTACTACCAAACCCAAACGGTCGCTGCTATCATAACATAATTCTCCAATCCATACGGGGAAAAACACTAAACCATAAGTTTCGCCTAATCGTTTCGCTGTCTTTTCGAGCGAAGTGGACAAAGAAATCAAACTCGACATCTCTTATGACGTACATAATATAACCAAAGAATCTATTGTTTACCATCAATATAAAAACATCAGGTCACTATATACTCGTATATCAGATGCCCTATTGGAATTAGATTCCCGCAAAAGAATTACGAATGTTATTCAAAATGGCCATACGCTTCCGCTGTTCATTGTTGCAATTAATCCAAATACAATTTTTAATGAAACATCAATGTTGCACACTAAAATTTAAGTCGAATTACCCAATAAGACTTATAGTGATTCACCTCAGTGTCTAAATTGACATAGCTACGGTCACTCTACGCTAACTATTAACATCACCATACCGGAAATGATGGTGATCCTTCATCCTTCACGCTGTGTTAAACGCAGTGGAAATCATTCCTGAAACAGTTATAAAGAGAAAGACAGTTTAACCAAGTGCGACTTTTGCACGGGTGATCATACTTCCAATTATAAAGGTTGTCCTAAGCATAAATTACTTCTTAAACGTCGCAAAACAACCCACTTGTAATCATCAAAATAAAAATATTGTACTCACGTCTCCTCTTATCAAACATCTTTCTTTGGAAAGCTGTGAAAGCTTTGGCTTCTTGCACCTCCATCACTGGTTCTAATAATACCCTATTACCTAATAGTCCTATGGACGATATACCGTTTTCCGATTTATCTCAGGTCTTCTGGCATTAATAAATTTAACATTTTCCCTTCTTTTATTATTACAGCTCTTCTACGAAATCACCTTACTCCTAAGCCCAAATTCTTTTCTACCTTATTCATTTAAATGATCACGTCTTTAACCATTTGATATGTTATCCGTTACTTGTAAATTTTAATTGATCAATCAATTTTCAAAAATTCAAATTATCAAAAAACTTTACTAATATTATTTTATGATAATGATTATTGTATATTAATGTTAAAATGCATACTTAGTTATCTTACATGATTTAATTGTTGAGCTATAATAACTTTGTGTCAAAAGTTAAATAAAAAATAACATAAAAATTATAGAACGATAATTTACATATTAAAGAACATCATTATTATGATTTCAAATAACATTTTTCAGTATGAATAGTAATAGTTAAGAAAGTTTTTGTAGATTTAAATCTAAAATATAAATAAAAAAATATTTTAGTTTTTATTTTGTAAAATTTGTAGATAATTACTATACCTGCCCAAGACAGACATTGGGACAGGAATAGTCAATTAGAGAATAAAAAATGTAAGGAAGCATATATGAAAATTGGGAAAGAATGTAATGTAGGAATAGAGATTTGTGTTTCAAAAACCATGGATCTGACTTTACAAATCAGCGGCAATAGAGTAAATGTTGAACGAGCAAAACAAAAAATTAACACATTCGAACAAACTCAAGTAAATAAGTTTTAATTAAGTTGGAATTAATAAGATAAACTGATAAAAATAATATGTATTATATATATATTTATATTGTTGTGTACAAATTATGAATAATTTATTATTATTATTATTATTATTATTTTTTAATATTATAATATATAAATGTGCATAATAATTTAAAATGTTTAATGAATCATTTGTTATTTTATAGTTTTATTACGGATAAATAAATAAAAAAATATTTTTTTAGCAATTTTAACTAAAACATTAAATTTTAGATTAAAACTACTACTACACCGTTTCCAAAAGAACATCGAAGTACGTTATTGGGCAAACAAGGACTTAATATTAAGAATATTGAAAAACGTACAGGAGCACGTCTTCAAATACCGTGTATGAAAAATTCGGCTGACATAATTTATATAACTGGAACAAAGGATTCCACGAAAAAAGTAGTTCAAGTATGTACCAAAAATATGTTTTAATGAATCGGAATTAAAGTTTAACACATTAAAGTAAATTAATTTTCGAATAGAATGACTAGAATGAATAGGTTGGAGAAAAATTGACAAAATAGATAATGCCTATTTTTAAAGTGGTTAATTGTGACCGTACTAGTTTATTTATTTTATTAATTAAATTAAAATTAAATCTTTTAATAAATATTTAAAAATTTCACGATTTCTAAATTAAAATGCCGATAATTTTTATTATACTTTTATAGTAAAAATAAATTAATGAGGATTTTAATATTGAATTTTGATATAACAATATACGAATACAATGAACTTTAAATTTTAATATTACTTATAGGTTTAAAAGTTTTTAAAAGGTTTCTGATATGTTTGTTTTTTAGAAAAAAATTTACAAGTATTATGTATTAACGAAATCGGGTATTTTAATAAATTTCCATCAAATAGTTTCTTTCGTAATTTTTTAATAATTAAAATTTTTGTTAGGAATTGGAGGAAATTATAATTAAGTTGAAAAGTAAAACTGAAAAAGAAATAAAAATTGATCAACGTCACCACGGAGCGATAATTGGATTCAATGGTGAAAAAGTTCGAGAACTTCAGAAAATATTTAATGTTAAAATTATATTCCCCAGTCCAGGTAATTAATAGTATTAATAGTATTAATATGTTTGTATTTTTTGTATTTTGAGAGTTTATAAATAATATTTGGTTTGATATTTTAGTTGAGGCTAGAAATAATTTAGTTAAAATACAAGGTTTGAACAATGATGTAAATAAAGCATTTAAATCATTAGCTGAATTGGCCGAAGTATTGGATGAAATCAACTATGTGTTGGAAATTCCTATTTTTAAACAATTTCACAAACTTAGTGCTGGAAAGAGAGCAATATTTATTAAAAAGGTAATTATTATTTATTAACTTTTGTGATTCGACCTTTAGAAATATTGTTATTTATATAATTTAATATTCTAGATTAGAGAAGAAACTGATACGAGAATTTTTTTACCACGCAAAGGAGATAATAAGGATGTTATTAAAGTCATGGGAAATAAAAGAAAAGTTTTAATGGCTTTTGATATGATTAAAGAAATACAAAATGAAATTGTTGGTTTTTTATAAAGATTATTTATTTTTCAATTTTATTTTTAATTTATCAATCATGTATTTTTAGGGAGACATAATAACAAAGGAAATGGTGTTGGGAAATGTTAAAGTTAGAAATGCCATTGTAAATCTTGGGAATAAATTCATTCAATCTATAAAAGAAGATTGTGGGGATAATGTGACATTGAATTTACCAACTGTTAAAGGAGATAATGTAAGAATATACGTTACTTATTTATTAAACTTATAAATTAAAATGACATTTTAACCAATTGTATAAGTTATTATATGCGTGGTATACGCTCAGACATCGATTCGAACCTGGCATCTGGCAGTTTCTCTTTTTGAGCAGGAGACGATTGTCTCAAGAGAAGAAACTGCTTCCCCTCCCCTAATACAATAAGTAAATTTTCAAGAAAATTTCCCAAATGCTAAAATCTATAAAAAAAACACTGGTAAACAGTTATTTTAAAGCTAAAATTTAATTCATAGACTATAGTTATCAAAGGACCTGAAGATGATGTAAAAAATGTTATTACACAAATTCAGACAATGGTTGATGAAGTTCATAAATATGTGTATGATTTAAAAGTAAATCCGAAGTTTCACAAATATTTAATTGGAATAAATGGAGTCAATGTTAAAAAGGTATGTTGTTAAAATAATTTAGTATAAGGGTACAATGTGTTAATTTATGATTTTATACTTTGATTCCAGATCAGATATTTAACGAATACAAGAATAATTTTCCCGCCTGAAACTGATTCCACTAATGAAAATATAACTATTGTTGGTAAAAAAGAGAATGTTTATAAAGCAAAAGCAAAATTTGAAGTTATGATAACCGATATTGATAATGTCATCAAAGAACATGTAAAAATTAATGAAAAATATCATGGCACTTTAGTGGTCAATCAAAAAGAATATTTACACAAAAGCTTGCGTTAACTACAACCAATTGTTTGTTTTGATTTTTGGTAAAAATAAATAATAAAAACATTTTTTTTTTTTTTCAAAATCTCATCAACGTCTTTTATTGTTAGATTATTCAAAATAATTAATAAATTGAAATATAATTATAATGAAATAAAATATATTAAATATGATCAATTTAATATAAAAATTACTATATTAACAAACTTATTGTTAATTGTTGATTATGTTTTTTTTTTAGTATTTTGGGTTTGGCCCCCTCCATTTTAAAATCTTGGCTACGCTACTGAAGATAATATTCTTTATTACATAAAGTGAACTAAACTATAGTCATAAATATTTTTATTCCATATTAATTGATGTAAAAAATAGAAGAGGATTATTAAAGAGTTCTAATAGTGTTTTTAAATTACTTAAATACATTGGGAATTTGTTATTCAAACTGATCTGCTATTATTTTACTTCTATTATATCTGGTTTATCTGTAAAAATAATAATCTCAGCCAAGAATGATTGTTATAATTTCAATATTCTACAAAATATGACGTGTTCCAATAATTCATTTAAAAAAAATCATCAATTATGTTTAGTAATAGGTAATAGTAATCTGTAAAAATATTTATAAATGCAACTACATCATGTTGCTAAAGCAAAAACTTCAAATGTTGTTAATAAACGACATCAATTAACAAAATTAGTTGTATTTTATAATTTGTGATAGGTAGGTGCTGTATGTTTTAATTTTAAACTAATATGTTAAAAATGTTTATGCCATGAAAAATACAGTATTTGTTTTTTCCTCTTAATTTAACTTATATGTCTTCTCATTTAATTAAATTTTACTTATTGAAAAAAGAGTAAAGTAACCAACAAGTATTTAATATTTTTTTGTCGACCGAAAACGTGGTGGATATATGATAAGAGCACTTCCGACAGATTTCATCATTCTCGATGATAAATTCGGTGAGTAGTTTATCAAGTTAATATAAAAGTCTGTGTATTAAAGTTACATAATAATATTATTTTACCTGTTCACTGCCGAGCAACACACGATAACGGGTCGCCGTGTATTCTTTGAAAATAAAAACGCGACGGCGGATAGCGACAGGATTCTCTGTAGGAAATGAGCAAAAACGGCGAAAAATATCTCAGTTTTTTAAAAATATGCAAAATATCTACAATTGTTTTGTGGATTGAGCCTTGTACGATAGGAAAAGTTGAATGTTTTCTCAGAATCTACTCGTATGTCAGATATCATTTTGAAAACACTCAATCCTATACATTGGGCAGGTACGTATAAGTATGCATGGTTTATACCCTTAAAGAAAGATTTAGTGATGTACTTAAAGCTTTGTCTTACATAACTTTGATTAATAAAAAAAATAGGTAGTGATGTCGTACGCGATTTACCAAACTTGTTTTCAAGTAGTGCGCGATCTACCCAAATCTATCAATAATAGTATTTAATTTTCGTATTATTTTCATCTTTATTATTATTATTATTATTATTATTATTAGTTCTGAAAGGAATATACAAATATTATACAAATATTATTTTTATAAAATACCTTATACTAAAAATGTTGTTTTCGTGTCCGAAAGAAAATCGTCAAACATTGTATTTATGAGACATATAAAAATATAACAAATTTTGGATTATCTATTGTTGATATGACTCTTCGAAACCTTGTTCTAGTTTTTAGAATTATTTATAAAATTGTAAAAAGTCAAAAGCCTTTTGTTGATTTACCGAATGAAATAGATAATAGATTAACAAGTTTTGAATGGTATGAATATGGGAAACATTTTACACTCTGATAAAACGTCTGTGGACTTAGCACTCTTTTTAGCACTTTACATAGCATTAGAGATAAAAATAATGATTTACCAAAATATAATTTTAATTAAAACGGTATAAAATAGTAGGTACAACTTATGTAATAATAAAAGGCTTAGTATTTCAGGAAGAGGAAAATATAATTTTGGTAGGTTAAAGCCCCTAATTCTATGGTATGTACTAAAAAAAAAAGAGAAAATTTTCCATTTCGAGCACTGTGTAGAAGTGGCTAATCTACTTGAGAAAAAAGCATGTATGTTATACATGCCAATCGATTTATTTATGCACATTTACCAATACGTAAATAATAGGTTATAAAATTGTCGAAACAGAAATACTTTAGTACATTAAATAATTTGACTACCCTTATAAAGCACTTAAATGGCCGAAACTAAATCAAGGGTACCTAATAATAATAAGATAACCTTAATCTAAGTTAATTTTAATATTTAACATTCGTCTAAAATATAATCAGTATAGGTAGCAGAGAGTTAGTCAATTAGTCAACGCCTATGCTGTGTTCATCAATGATAGATACCTACTTAACTACTACCAATATGTAGTATACACGGTACATATTCATACAATATATCATACACTTCCGTATTATACGTATTCCAGCTGAATGTTATACTTTGCAACCTGTAATAAAGTGAAGTATTGAGTTAAACGATGTCAAATTTATGGCGTCTGTACAAAACATACCACCTATATACAATATTTTTGATTATATCAAACTGACAACATTGATTAAAATGACAAAATATTCCAACCCTCAAGAGTGTGCCTACCTATAATTTAACCAAAATCCGAACAAAAATCTGCGTGGCGCACATAATATAATTGGTGTACGATCAAACCCGGATTAACACTATCGTAGGCCCTAGGTCCCTAGTCCCAAGCACAGTGTTTTTAGTGCTAATATGGCTTTTTGATGTCCAGTATTTAAATGGTTAATTTTTAAAAACAAAAATAATTACAATATAAGAATCAAATCTAAACTTTTATATGATAACAATTTTAACGAATACAATCTTAAAAACAATTATTATATCAATTATTATAAAATTAAATTTTAAAATGCCATAAACAACAACTTTTTCATATAATTTTGCATAGTTCTGTAACCCTTATATTTAAGTGCAAAACAAAAAAATAATTGCGACAAAAAAATAAATAACAATGGTGTAGTACATTACGTAAGTATAACTTTATAATTACAAAACTTTTTTGCGATATTTTTTATTTGAAAATAATTCAATTAATTTTTCGATATCTATTTCTTGGATTAACTCGGTTTCAATTGTAAGTACCGATAATGTCCTAGGCACATTGCTTATAGTGTCTATGAGCTTATACAGCCTTATGCACTATTCGTTATTGATGCAAGCACATTAGATTAGTACTTACATTGTTTCAATGGCAATTTCCAAAGAGGGGTCAAATAGAAATTCCATTTGAAAACATACAACATTAGAAAATTGAAACAATATTTATAATTCTTATTCTTAAGATTTAATTTCATTAAATAGTCGAAAATTATATTTCCTAAACAAAAGTGTATTAAATAGAGGGGCCGAATGGGCACTGACATCCTTGGCAGACTATGCCTCTAATAAAATCAACTCCAAATAAAAAAAAAAGTCGTGTAGTCTGAACTCAGAACAGATAATACCAGTAAACTCACCGTACTATACTAAATATGTATATAGTAGTATAAACAGTGATGGGAAAATTCCCGAGAATATATTTTTGAGAATTTCCCGGGAATATAATAAGTTTTTAAATATTGATCATAATTTTTAGTTTTAAATTAAACTTATGACTTTAAATGATCGAAATTACAGTTCTTTACCGATATTATTTCAGTTTAGATTTTTATTATTTAAAAAAATGTTACTAAGTAACTATAATTTAATTTTTTAACTAAAATTTGTACAATGATCACAAAATTAATTATCCAACTTTTATTTTATGTTAAAAAATAAAAATAAACATACTGAAATACTGAATAACTTTTACTTATACATGTAATGAACAATATATATTTTAATATAACATTAGGTACTTCAGTATCATTAATACAAATAGAAAGAATCAGTACTCTTAAATCTTAATTAATACTTTTAAAATAACAATATTATGAACTTACGATCAAAAACAGAAAACAATTAATAAAGTATCCAAACTACTACTTTGTATTAAAATATGTTTTAAAAATAAACATAACTACTAAATAACTTTTTAGATACTTATACATGTAATGAATAAAATAAAAATATAACTAGACCTAAAGTCTCTTTATTTAAATCACTTTAAAATAATAGTAAAACAGTACCCTTAATTAATACTTTTATAATTATAATGTTATAATAAAACAAATAGAAAACAATTAATAAAATATCCAAACTACTTGTATTAAAATAAGTTGTAAACATATAAACACACTAATTAATACTGTTACACTAGTACAAAGTATGGCTGATGTACAGTAGTATAGACTGGCATTCTATTCCCACTCAATTTTTTTTTTTTTTAAAGAAATTTCTGGAGAGGCTGGGGAATATTTCTAGTAACACATTACTAAGTATAATATATGTTTTTATTTTAATTTTAAATTAATTTTTATTGTTTTGACGCACCAATGGTTATAATATTTGGTCTTAATTAAAAAATATTCCTATCATTGCGAATTTATTAATATAAAAAAATAAATATTTTTTTATATCTAAAAAAAATATTGGTCTCATAATTTAAAAAATGTTTGTTCCTCTCGGCCACTGAAATCTGAACTTGCCTATGTTCCTAAAATTACACTATAACACAATTATTAAATGTATAGAAATATAGAGTTTTAAAGGAAAAACAAAATAAAAAAAATCATTAGAATAAATTACGACTTAATTTCCATTGGTAAATTATAATTAAATTTATAGTATTTGTAAAAACTTCACTAAACAAAATAAAGAATTATAATACTTAAAATTCACTGTTAATACTCTTAATTTTCAGTAACAATAATAAATATTTTGTCTTAACACTAAATTAAACATTTCATAAAGATATTACACAATGTTTTTCATTTTATAAATAAATTTACTTTAGGATAAATCAGTGATTCTCATCCTTTTATCATTCATGCCTTTGGCCACTAGAATCAAACACCACGTCACCCTAA